CGGACCACAGCATTTAGTATCCACTCCCTACCAAGCATTTCCTTGCATGTTATCACTTAGAATGAATGCCATTCAAGGATATGCTTACAGACACAGGAAGTTTTGGCAGTCACTAACCATCTCTGGCTCCAAGCTTGAATTCATCGTGATTTTGAGTGAAAGATTTCTGGACTTGAAAGAAAGTGTACTCTGACAACACTGTCACTGTGTAACTTTCTATTGGTTATGTAGCTCTATCTAGATCTATCTTTCGACTTATCCCTTGCAAAAGCTGCAGTTCTTCTAAGTGCAACCTTTGCAAGCCCCCCTCCTCCCCAGAACAGACTTTGTCTGTGCCGGGGAAATAATCAGAGATAATAATCATTTAACTGTAGGGCAATCCAAAGACACCCCCCTACTTTAACAGTCACACGAACTTTCAAGAATGAAGTGGTCTGGGTGCCAGGTCCCTCTAGTTTTAACCTTGCAACTGAAAACACAGCAGTTTCAGAGAAACTGCTATGTTTACACTGAGGGTTAATCCAGCCTTTCGCGATTCTCTCTGTGAAAATCCGTGAGAAGACGCTGATGTCCATAGGAAAGCATTGAGTAATGCTTTCCTATGGGTGGTTTGAATGTGCCTGGCTCTTGCCGCGGATGCGCATTTGGCGCTGACGTTGGCAGGAGGAGGAGAGTTCCCCAGCGCCGAGGGAGCCTGGCGCTGGAGAATGGTAAGTGTCTGAAGGGGTTTTAACCCCTTCAGCCCAGCGGGAGGGGGCCATGAGGGTGGGGAGGACCTAAGGACTACATAGTGCCAGGAAAATAAAAAATAAAGGAACGCTTTCCACACCATAACCACTACAGCTTACAGTAGTGGTTATGGTCCAAGGAGTGCCCTCTTTCTCCCTCCCTATTGTAAAGTCTTTTTACACCTTTTTGAGAATGGTTTGATTTCTAACCTGGGTCCTACAGGTGCTACAATCAGACTTTTTTGGTTCGTTCCTTTTGTCGGTGTAATAATGTAAACCAATTTGATTTCTTTCATTTTTAGGATGCCTCTGAAAATGAAGATGATGAACAAGAAGAGGAAGAGGAAGAAAATACAGATTATCTGACTGATTCAAACAAGGAAAATGAAACTGATGAAGAGAACACTGTATGTGTAGTTTTTCCCTTCACAAATCTTGCTGTTAAAATCACAATCTTTTCTTCACATTTAAAAACAAGAATACATTATTGTATGTACAATAGTGATGTGAGTTGTAACTATGCAACTGCTCATGATGTTGCTAGTAATATTTGGTAGTCCATTGCTTTTGTGTGTGTGTGTATATGTGTGTGTGTGTATATATATATATGTATGTATGTATGTGTGTATATGTGTATATATATATATGTGTGTGTATATATATATATATATATATATATATATAGATATAGATATATATAGATATATATAGATATATATAGATATATATATATAGATATATATCTATCTACACACACACACTACAAAACCGTTATCAAGACGGCGCACCATAATTAAATTCTCCTTCAGCCCCCACCAACATGACAATTGCGCTAGGTCCTGGTTTGACACTGTGTGTGTGTTTTTGTTTTATATTCTCTCTAGAAAACAATACCTTTTTTAAAAAAAAATAATTTTTTTTTTTTTTTTTTAAACGGTCACTGTGGAGATCTGAATACTTTCCCAGGAAACCAAATGTGAAAGATATGATTTAATTAACCTTTCCCATCACTTAATTATCTTGTGCAGGAGGTGATGATTAAGGGAGGTGGAATTAAACATGTTCAGTGTGCGGAGGATGAAGACTTTATTCAGGCCCTTGACAAAATGATGCTGGAAAACCTTCAGGTATTATGATTCTTTGCCACTTGTATTTTAGTTTACCTTTTTTTTTTTTTTTACAAGTGTAGTATCCTTCCTCAAATACCAAATAATATATAAGCATTTCAAAGTAGTTGCGTAACCAATGACGTGCTCTGTGTTTATGATATACACTTTAATAATTAACTTTTCAAATTGTAATGTTTACACATGAATGCCTGCCAAGAGCCTTCTTTGAACCTGGAGAAATTTGAATCCACATTCGAGTTTAAGTATACTTTCTAAACACTGCAACAATTACAGTTTTTCGTATTGGACATGGTGCAAGGAGTCCTTCAGTGCCGCCCCTCTGTTTTTCGAAAAAACTGTATTTTGGCTGCTCATCCAGAACCAACCAATTCTGCAGCCGCACAGATAATGTAGACGTTTCACTGCTGCATTTATCTTACAAAATTGTTAAACCTTGGCACAAAACAAACTTGGGTATTCTGGCACTACAAGAGTGATTCAGAAGCGCTCTGAACACCTTTTTTGACTGGGGTTTTATTTTTTGCTTTTCCAGCATGGCTGCTGGTTATGCATATCCTTGTTCGGGGAGATATTCATAGCAAGCTAATATGTGTGTGAACATCTGCAGAGAAATTATGTACACATTATATATGCATGCTTTGGTATTGCTTCCATAGTGCTGTAAACATGCATGCAGCTCTGCGGGACATTCATTTAATTGTCAGGACTGTAGCCAAGCATACTATGTAAATTCTTTTTTTTTTTTTTCATTCTGGTGATAGTGGTGTTTGCTTCATGTATTAATAAACATAAAAACAATAGCTAACTTTCAACCCATATGACTTGTTTGCATTCAAATGTTTAGCTTTGGTTGTTTTCAGAAATGATTTTTAATCTTACAAGCATTTGTGGAATGTGCTTGTTTAGTGTAAAACCCATCCCTCAGCAAGTTGCTCTTACTGCATTCTCTACTATGGTGAAATCTTGTTTCAAATCAGAACTATCCCTGAATACAATCTGCCCTTGTCTACTGTAGCATTTTGGACAAGAAACTAGTGTTCTTAATTGATAATTGGGATAGAAAGATTATCATTTGGTACATCTGACATGAAGAAAACTAAGACTTTATATTAATAAAAATAACATTTGTTGGGGGCGGAGCCTGGCCTTGGTAAGAGATGGACGCTTAATTCTGCGGCTCCCTCTCTCCCCGTGATAAAATCCGCCAACATCTGCGGCCACAGGCACCCCCAGTTTTTAAAAAACACCACCCCCTTCCAGTTTGCCCTGTGTGCACCACCTGGGCATGGGGGATCGAGGGGAAAAAAAAGGAGAACAACCCGTCTGTCGCTACATTGTTCCGCTCCCAGAGCACACCTCGGCGGCCATCTTGTCGAGGGGATATGGCGAACTTCAGCCCAGACTCAGAGGGCTGTGGGCGATCGACAGCAGCTGACCTTCCCTTAACTAAGAGGGACCTACAGGCGCTTCTACTAGATGCCACTACCGACATCAAAACGCACACAGCGGCGGAACTGGACCGTCATCTTCAGGCCCTGAGGTCGGACATCGAGGCCTTGTCCCGACGGACTGACCAGGCTGAAGCACGCTTGACTAATCTAGCTGATACCTCCCGCTCCCATTCCCAAGACATCACCTACCTCCACGGGAAAATAGCGTCCTTAGAAGAGGAGCTGGAGGATCTCAACAACCAGTCACGCCGGAACAATATCCGGGTCCGGGGCCTCCCCGAGTCAGTGCCTCCTGAACGCCTGCAGACAACACTAGTCGATTTGTTCCGGTCCCTGCTGCCAGAAGCGTCGGAACGGGACCTTGAGCTGGATAGGGCGCACAGAGCCCTCCGGGGCCCGGCCCTTAGCCCGGACACCCCGAGGGATGTTATAGTCCGTCTACACAGGTTCCCAGTTAAGGAACTACTGCTACGGAAAGCGCGGCAAAATCCACCACTGTACCAGGGCAAGAAGGTGGCCTTTTTCTAGGACCTGACGCCCCTGACCCTTAAAAAGAGAAGGGATCTTCGACAGCTAACACTTACCCTCACTCATTATGGAATCCGGTACATGTGGGGCCACCCCTTTAAATTGGTGGTCCACAAAGACAACCAGACCCACATCCTCAGCACCGCGTCGGAGATGGCCCCCTTCGCAGCATCCTTGGGCCTGGAGCTTCTCCCACCACCCTCTCAAGCAGCATCGCGACCCAGGGGAAGACCTGGAGGGGCGACCGCCGGAGCAGACCGCTCACCTCGCCGCACGCCAAGGAAGAGAGCTGCGGAGATGGAGAGGAGCCCCCGGAGGCCACAACAGATGAGGCAGAGCTAAGCAGAGGGCTGCCCACTCTAGGCGGCAGCATACTGGACATGACACGCTGGAACTTTGTTCTTGATGGGGACTGCATCCCTGGTCAGTAAGTGCCCGAAGAGGGCGTGGGAGGGGGGGGGTTAGAGTCCCTTAGCTGGTGGTCAGGGTACCCGAAGGGGGTTATAGTAGAAGTTGGGGGCTCAGGCCCGGGTTGTAGGTTGGCACTACCTATCCCTGGATCCCTGGGGGCACTTGGGACGGCCTGGGCTCCGGTTCCTCCTTAGTCCCCCAACCTGCCGGTTGATAGGCTCCTGGATCACACAGCACACTATCCGGGCGGGTGGAGAGGAGGGGTGAGGAAGACCGCTGGACATGGGGGGGACGCTTTTGAAGGAAGGACATAAGAGGGAGAATACAGTGGGAGGTAGGGTGGGGGGCATAGAGAGACAGGGTAAAAGGGGGGGAATAGGGGAGGGGGATTAAAAAGTAGAGAGGGGAGGAAGGATGATCAATGGACCAAGACAAGGACCACAAAATCTTTTATTAAGACAAACTGGATAGACAGGAACGGCTAGAGAGAGGAGAGGAAAACAAAAAGGAGGGGGAGGACATAAAAAGAGCAGCGGGGGGGGGAGAGATAATGGGGAGGGGGAGGGCAACACTGGTTTCAGAGAGGGGGGGAGGAATGCATGGGGGGGGAAGGTATTCCAGTCCACGAGGTGAGGGACACACCTAGGGGGTCGCGATGGCCCACTGTTTGCCGGACCGGAGGAGTGAGGGGACCGGTTGCCCATACGGTTTGACCGACCCTCGAGACCCTCACGCCCTTGGCATGGCTTATTCCTAGGGATGACAGACTTACCCAGCATGAGTACACGTAACAGCCGACCTTGATAAGGTGACAAAGCTGCTAGCTGCTTGGAGGGGCTCTGACACAAGCTCCCAAGCTACAGATGTAAATGTACATAGTTTTCCATGTAACTCTAAGTTCTGACACAGTTGATTCTCCATATATTACACCTTAGTGCCAGGCACACTTTACTAGCAACTGACGGGGGGAGGGGAGCTGATAGTAGTGACCTATCTCTCCTCTCGCACCCACACCCTTTGAGACCCTTACTAGGGACCTTCACCCAATTCATTACACCGCAAGGCTCTTCTCCGCCCTCCGGGCTTGGCATTCTTCCTTTCAGCCCAGGCCTACCCACACCAACTTTGGTTGGGGGGTGTTTTGTGGAGTGTGTGGTGTGTTTTTTTTCTCTCTTCCTCTCCCCCTCTTCCTTCCCCCTCCCATTTGTCTGCGGGGGCCGCCGCGCCCTCCCTGCCCGCTGGTCGGTCATTGCGATGCCTCAGGAGGACCGGGATAATCTGCCTCACCAGGGGCCCACCGCGGCGGAACAACCGCTCCGGCTGGGATGCGTCTCGATTAATTGCAAAGGCCTGAATAATCCGGCTAAGAGGCACCGGGTCCTCAGATGGGCCAACAGGACTGGGGCGGATGTCATCCTTCTCCAGGAAACGCATTTTGAACATACTAGGGCCTTCCCTTTGCGCAATAGACACTATACAGTCTGTCATTTAGCGAATTCACCCTCGGGTAAACGGAATGGGGTAGCCATTCTGGTCCGTAAGACCTGCCCTATACACTTCACATCCACAGTCGCGGATCCATTGGGGAAATACCTGACGGCAGCGGGCCACCTGGGATCACATAAATATGCCATCACGTCGGTCTATGCCCCCACGACCCCGTCGGTGCACTTTTGGGAATCTTTTCAGGCGCATCTGGGCCTCTTCCCCTCCCACCATATGATTATCGGCGGGGATTTTAATGCGGTTCCGGTCCCGGAGTACGACAGGCGGAGGCGGGCTCGGATGGACTCCCACCAGGCATCCGTCGCGAAATCGGACAAACTGCTTCAGTCCTTCCTGAAGGCAACACAGTTAGTGGACGTATGGCGGCTTCAACACCCCCTGACAACAGACTTCACCTTTTTCTCGCACCCTCACACTTCATACTCCCGAATTGACATGTTCCTGACATCTCCTTCCTTGCTACAATTTCTGCACAGAACCGCCGTCGGTCAGATCACGTGGTCTGACCACGCTGATATCTCGCTTTCGGTACACATCCCACAGGCCAGCAGACAATGGCATTGGAGACTGAACCCCACACTCATTCATGTCCCACACATTCGGGAGAATATCAGACAGGCCATACAGAATTTTTTTCGACAGCAATACAGGGTCGATAACTTCCGATAGCATGCTGTGGGCTGCCCATAAGGCAGTGATCCGAGGCGCCCTAATTGCGGAGGCCACAGCACACAAACGGCATAAACTGTCTCAGCTAGCTCATCACCTCTCGGAACTCGGGCGCAAAGAGCACATGCATAAGCTCACCCCCACCGCAGACCTCGCCCGACAGCTTCAGACACACAGACAAGCTATACAGGCATTCATGACTCAAGATTCCAAGAAGGCACTCCTCTGGACCAGACAACTGTTCTATGAGAAGTCCAACAAAGCGGACTCTCTCTTGGCGAGACGTAAAGCAATACACACCCGTATAACCTCGATTAGGGCCCCTGATGGGCGCTTACAAGATGACCCGTCCCAAATAGCGGCAGTGTTTCACCGTTACTATGCCGCTTTATATGATCATGACCCGCGCATCAGACAGGACCCGCACGCCTCTGAAAGAGCCGCGGAGGCCTTTCTGAGAGACATACCCCTCCCACAGCTCACGGCGAAGCCAGAGACGCACTGGAAGCGCCCATCACGGTAGAAGAGGTGGCTGACACAATTAAGACATTGCGCCCCAATAAATGCCCTGGCCCAGATGGGTTCTCAGGATTATACTATAAAACATTTTCTGGGGCCCTTCTCCCGCACCTTAGGAACCTGTTCACCTCCATAATTAAGGGGGAGGCGATACCTCCAGACATGTTGCAGGCAAATATAAGCCTGATACCGAAGCCAGACAAATCCCATCAGGACCCTGGACATTTCCGCCCCATTTCGCTCCTTAACGTGGACATTAAGATACTCACGAAACTCCTGGCCAATAGGCTGCAACCTTACCTCCCGAAGCTGATTCACCCAGACCAAGTGGGTTTTATCCCACATAGACAAGCTAGTGACAAGACTAGACGCACCTTTGACCTGATGTGGGCAAGCACGCGTAAAGAGTCCCCCACACTGCTGCTTTCCCTTGACGCCGAAAAGGCATTTGACCGCATCCTATGGCCATACTTATTTGCAACACTGGACAGACTTGGACTCCCCCATGGGTTCCTGACGACAATCCGCAACCTATATTCATGCCCGACTGCACGGATACTCCTGCCGAACACCCCTTCGCCCTCCTTTCACATATACAATGGTACACGGCAGGGATACCCCCTCTCGCCCCTCCTCTTTGCCCTCTCCCTCGAGTCCCTTCTCCAAAAGATAAGACTTGATCCTGCCATTAAGGGAATAGCGGTCCGGAAGGAGGAGTATAAGATCGCGGCTTATGCCGATGACCTTTTACTGACACTGACTGACCCTGAAGCCTCGTTGCCTCCTCTGTTAAATCTGTTAGACGACTACTCTTTGATCTCTGGATATAAACTGAATCTGGACAAAACGGAGGCACTGGGACTTCATATCCCCCAAGAGATTGACGGGTCCCTTCGGGAACGGTATCTCTTCTGTTTTCGTTTGGATTGCATCAAATATTTGGGGGTGTATCTCCCCGCGGACTTACGCCTGACGTACCAATTGAATTATCTCCCGCTTATAGAACAGACCAAGAAAGACCTGGTGGAGTGGCAGAAACTGTCCATTTCCTGGTTGGGCAGGATAGCCTCAGTGAAAATGACCCTCCTTCCACGTTTTTTATACTTGTTTCAAACCCTACCAGTCCCGATCTCGAGACCGGATTTTAAAGCTTTGCAAACGCAGATAGATTCATCTGGGGGGGGAAGAGGATCCGAATAAAGAGGACCACTTTGTATATCCCGCATAAGAGGGGAGGGCTGGGCCTCCCGAATCTGTGGGACTACCACCAAGCTGCCCAATTAGCACAGATCCAAACCCTCCACGCGCCGGCTGGGGTCAAGCTATGGGTTGACCTGGAGCACGACCTTTTTGGGCAAGACCACCCTTCGCTATACTTGTGGGTGCCGAAACAGCACAGACCTACACCACACCAGCCCTGCGGACATCCATACAGGTTTGGTATAGGGTCGTCCGTAAGCACAACATTATAAACATGCCCTCCCCCCTCACACCGGTACTGAGGAACACGCAATTTCCCCCGGGCATGATGCCCCGACATTTTGCCCACTTTGAAGACAACGATCTAATCAGACTGTCATTTTTTTTTCGGGGCACTAGTCTTCTCCCATTTGCCGATCTGCCACAATCCACCCCCTTCAACTCGTTCAATCATTTCCGTTATTTACAGCTGAGAAGTTTCTTGTCCACCCCTGACATTGCGGCGGCGGCGACGACACCACTCACAAACTTTGAGAAAATGTGCCACCACACACCTGTTCGGAAGGGCCAAATTTCCATTCTATACGATATTTTGGCCAGGGATTCCCCCCCGGAGGCATTCTCATATGTGAGGGAATGGGAGAGAGACCTGGGCCCCCCAGGCGACCCTTCTGACTGGGCGGACATTTGGGAGGCCACAGCCTCCGTAACGATCTGTGTAAATCATAAGGAGCAGGCATACAAAACCCTGCTCCGATGGTATGTTACCCCCTTGCGGCTCAAACAGATGCGGCAATCGAACTCGGACCGCTGCTGGAAAGGCTGTGGGGCTCAGGGCACGTATCTCCACATGTGGTGGGAATGCATACAGTTTGCCGGGCTTTGGAAGGAGATTATAGGTATCACATCCAGAACACTGCAAATAACGCTCCCAATGGACCCGTGGACGTGGCTTTTATCCAAACCCTTAGAGGCCCTACCCAGAGCACAGAATAAATTAGTGGCAAAAATAGCGCTGGCGACCCGAAGGGCGATAGCAGCTCACTGGGGTAGTGCGGATACCCCGACAGTGCGAGAGGTGCGGAGAAAGATAGAGGAATCCCAAGGAGATGGATGAGTTATCTGCCCTGATTCACGAGACGACCAGCTCGGTTAGAAAGGTCTGGGGCCCCTGGGGTGCGATGTAGTATCGGCCGGCGGGGGACACCGGCCCCCCAGTCCCTCTCACCACCCTGTTCAGCTCCTGATGGAGCCCCTCCCTTTTGCCCCTCACCCCCTACCGCTGCCACCTCCACTAGACCTGTAAAGGGTTTTCCACACCAAGAGGAAGCCGATTTGGCTCTGCCATACACGCAAGCCACACCCATACACGCCATTGGAACACGAGCCTTCAGAGCCTGGGCGCATGAGTGCCACAATTCGAGGGGCTAGATAACCCACAGGTAATTATTCGTCCATGGCCCTTTCTGACCATAGGTATGGTCGTAGCTACACCCCACGTTCTACGTTTACCCCAGTTGTTTATCCCTTCTTCGGTTCAGAGTGGTAGTACACACGGCAAGCCGACCGCAACATAGATCCACCTGCTCCTGACATACAGCAAATAAAGCCAAACGTATACCTGAGAATACTTATACGCTGGCCCCTCCAGAGACTGCAACTAGATGTACCTCAGACCGCCAGCATGAAGCGAGGGGGATGCAAGTGAACCTAGGCACAGTCGGCCACTATAGAGAATATGGGTAGATGAGATGCACTCTGTTCTGCTGTTCCCCATGCCCTTTTCTTTTTTCTGTATCCCATATACGTACTTAAATCTCTTTAAATAAAGAATTTATAAAAAAAAAAATAACATTTGTTAATGTTCAGTTAGTTAAAGGAACACTCCAAACACCATAACTACTACAGTGCGTTATAGTTGTTATAGGGCCATGCGTGCCCTGGCTTCTCCCATTGTACGTAGTTTACTTATTCTCTAGAACCTCTGTTATGGCTGCAGGAGAGCTGGAAGCTCCTGCTTACAAGCTTCCTTTAGTTTACGTAGCTAATCCCTGCAGTTTAGCACCAGCTCATTGGCTCAGCACAGCCAGGCTTGGGTCAGGCAGAGTGCTTCTGGCTCTTTTATAGCTGTAATGGAGGCTGGAAGCTGCACCTGATGGACCCCACATAAGACCTCAAACAATCTAAAACCGTTTGTCTTCTTACGAAGGCGTTCCACCTGGCATCATAACCACCACACTGCACAGCAGTGGCTATGGTGTTTGGAGTGTTGGACATGCAGCATTTTCAACCCCTTGTTCTAGACCAGTCTCGCAGCAGTTAGGACCTTCATTGGCCTCTGCATGTTCTGCCGATAGACATCAATAGCTTGATTATGTTTCTGCGGACTTGTTGATGTATAATGCAGGTTTATAACAGTATATTATAGTGTGTTCCCTCAATATGATTCCCTGTATATGAACCTACGAGGTAACTGTGTTCTAGACATGCTAAGACTAAGGTTGCTCCCTTGCAAGTATTTTTGGAAATTGTTACTGGTCTCTGCTTTCTCTGACCACTTGGACAACTCCATTAAAAGATCTTGACATTGAAAACTGCAGTAACGTGTTAATGATGCTAATGATATCATCAGCAATCAATCCACATCAGTTGCATAGTTTCCAGATATCTATTTCTAATTAAATGTTTAGCTAAAAGGACAACCAAGAAAGGATTCATCAAAGAACTTCTTTTTACCTATACATTGCCCATTACGTATATTAATGTGGCATATGATAACCGTGGAAGGGCTTTCATGAAAAACTAAAATACTGCTATAACTGGAAACTTTACTTAATAATATTTTTTTTTTCCATCCCAGCAACGCAGTGGAGAGTCTGTTAAAGTCCACCAATTAGACGTGGCAATCCCATTGCACTTGAAGAGCCAGCTAAAGAAAGGAACTTCACTCTGTACTGGGGAAGGAGATACAGAGTCTAGTGATACTATGCCATTTGTCATGCTCACACGAAGAGGCAACAAGCAGCAGGTATGATATGGTTCAGTGAACAGGGTCTGCATTTTACAAACCAATATCTATAACTGTGACAGTTTGCCGATTCTAATCAGAAACTGGGGCAGTCAAATACCAGACCTCCAGATCTCAAACACCTTCTGGTTAACATGTCGAGTTTCTGTTTGAATTTTTATATTTTGTGTGTTTTAAAAAAGCAGTACTTTAGAGACTAGATTGTGAGGTCCATTGTGTGTCTTGTTCTATGTTAACATAGAACAGTCCTGAATATTTTGTTTTTTTAATCTTTTAGTGCCAGCTCTATGGTTAGGGTATCCTATTAATAGAACCTGTAGAGATGCAATCTTTCTAGAGTGATGACTATGTATTTGTTTTATAAATCCACAGGTGTTACTATTCTTTCACTACCACGTAGGTATTCTGCTATTCTTTGTTCTTGAACATTTTTAGCACCACTAAGATGTCAGTTCAGTTAGCAATGCTTGCAGATTAACAGAACAGGAACTATATTGGTGTATTTAATAACTAGAATGTGGGCCAGAGATTTAAATCTACATTCACAATCCACAAAGATTTTCTTTTCTGATTTTATAAACATGAATGCTTTAAGTTCAATGATTTACAATGTGAGGTAGAATACAAATCTAGAAAAATTTGTGTGAGGTCAAATACATATATATATATATATATATATATATATATATATATATATATATATATATATATATATATATATATATATATATATATATATATATATATATATATATTTTATTTTGTTTTAGTTTTTTAGTTTATTAATGAATAATATTGAATTGTTATTCATGCATGATTTAAGCAATGGAGCAGCCTGGGCACCATAACCACTCCATGTTTATGTAGGGATTATAGTGCCATGTATTTTTATTTAAATGGGTTTTTGGGGGGTTTTTTTTTTTTTGGACTGTATGTTAATTTCCTTCTTTGGTAGTGTTACCTTGTTAAGCCAGTACAATAGTTCTCTCTGCACGCACAACAACTAGGGTATTAAACAACAGTAATGGAAAGCCAAATGATGGTGGTTCCTCTTATGTAAATTCTGTAAATCCATTTTTAAAGTAGGATTCATATCACCACTTAATGTGAGATTTAATTCTTCAGAAAAACTTCTTGCAGTAGTGGGAAAAAATGCCTGTTTTCTCGGAGTTGAAATGCAATCCTGCCAGCAGGAAGTAATTTCTGATTTCTTATCTAATGGTAGATAGGGAGTATTACCTTATTAGATTTCCTGTAAGCACAGTGCAGGGAAATAATGTCTCTGTATAGTAAGGATTATCTCTTACACCATGTATTATTTACAGTAAAAAGAAAACTCATTCATGTACCAGAGCTTACAGAGCTCAGTGCATAAAAACTATGGCAATTCAAATAACACCATCTTCATTGTTCTGTAACGTTCAGGTTTGTAAGCTTATTGCCTGCATACTCCTGGATTATCCATCATTCTGGCTCTTTGAATATTAGATCTGATGATAATTGCCATGCATTTTCATTGCAGGGTCTCATTTTAACCTTTATATCTTAAAACATTTATATAGTAGACTATATTTACTTTAAAAACAAACATTTATGAAGGCATCTCAAAACAACTTTTGATCTAGAAAACTCCATATTTGAGAGAGTAGTGCTTTATTTAGGACTGCTGGAAAAATATTACAAAGATTTAGATGTTCGAGATAGATATATGTGTGTGTTTATGGATTCAACCAGTGTTTTATGTATATTGCATATGGGGTGGGCAATAAAATTTCCCCTATTGCAAGTGTGGGTTTTTTTTTTTTCATCTAGTAATCCTGGCACACACAATAATTTCAATTAGAAACATTGGGCTACTTCCTAGAGCCTGGGGCACAGAATCTCTCCCACTTTATCTCCCTCTGCCCTCCTCTCCCAATGTACTTGTGTGGGTGCTGGCTGTGTTTTATAGTTTGTGTAGTGTGTATTCATGTATTGCAGAGAGTACTTGTACTAATCCTGAATTAAATGTGATAACATTTCTCATTATTCTCACTCCACTGTATAAATTTGGTTGACATTTCCATTTTTAAATTTATATCTGGCACCTGGAAACCCTTAATAAAGGGACACTATAGTCACCAGAACTACAGCTTATTGTATTTGTTCTGGTGAGTATAATCATTCCATTCAGGCTTTTTGCAGTAAACACGGTCTTTTCAGAGAAAATGCAGTTTTAACTAACAGTCTATGGATACCTCTAGTGGCTACTAAATGTGATTCCTGGGGCAGGGCTGCAGTGTCTCCAACCTCTGCATGGAGACACTGAGCTTTCCTTATAGAGATGCATTGATGAGGAGATACTAATTGGCCAGGGCTGTTCTTGGCTTGTGCTGGCTCTGCCCCGATCTGCCTCCTTGACAGTCTCCGTCAATCCTACGGGAAAGCATTGTAATTGACTCAGAGATTCACTTCTGCCAAGTAGGCAGATCAGAGCCAGCAGCTGCAGACTTGAATAGAATTAAGATTTTACTAAATTTAGAGGGGGCAAAGGAAGGGTAGGGGGGGCTAGATGGCGGTTTTAACACTCTAGGGTCAGGAATACATGTTTGTGTTCCTGACCCTATAGTGATCCTTTAAATCTTACTAGACATGACTGGTTTTCATTATTCTTGTTTATAAATTAAAGGTGCTCACAATTTAGCAATTTTGTATATACTCTATGAGGGTCCAATAACGTTTGAAGTTCATTCTAGATAATAGTATGACTCTTAACATTTACCATATAAGTCGAGGTTTTTCAGCACATTTTTTGTGCTGAAAAAGCCCCACTCGACTTATACACGAGTCAAGGTCGTGCCATAATACAGACCAGGTCCGCTGGGCTCATTACAAGCCCGGTGGTCCTGTTGGGGGCTGGCAGCAAGCTGTTACATACCTTTTTGTAGCAGCTCTGATCAACTCCCTTCACCTACGTGCAGCTCCCCTGTCAGCTCCCTGTGTAAATCTCGTGACACCCGCAGCCGTTGACAGGGGAGTTGCACGGAGGTATAAAGGTATGTAACAGCTTGCTGCCGGCTCCCCCCCTGCACCGCCCATGCCACTGGACCACCAGGGATTAAGATAGCCCCCTTCCCTGACCAGGTAACAAGCAGGGAGGGGGGACAAAAATAAATATTAAATAATATTTACAAATATTTTTTTTAAATATTAAAAATAATAAAAATGCCCTCACCTCCACCCAGTTCTCTCTCTCTCACACACACACTCTGCATTATATACATTATGAGTGTGTGTGTTTGTATGAGTGTGTGTATATAATGCACACACTTTGCATTTTATTTATTTATATATATTTTCTCTCTTCTCTCTTCTCCCCATTATATACAGGATTATGTTCCAAGATCTTACCTAGGTAAAATCTGACAAAATTATAAAAATCACAGAATTTCATAGCCCCAAGTTTTACCCTCGACTTATTCACGAGGCATAGCATATTTCACAATTGTTGGTCACAAAACTGCACTCGACTTATACACTAGATTGACTTATACATGAGTATATACGGTAATCTTTAGTATTGCAGCACCGATTCCTTTCCTGTATTTTAGAAAAGGTCTTTGTGGAACCACATGGCAAGTAAGGATTTAACTGCAATCATCTACAAATAATGCTTATTTTCTGTATTTTCAGTTTAAGATTCTCAATGTGCCCATGTCCTCCCAACTAGCTGCAAATCACTGGAACCAACAACAAGCAGAGCAGGAAGAGAGGATGAGAATGAAGAAGCTCACATTAGACATCAATGAAAGACAGGAGCAGGAGGACTATCAAGGTATCTACTGTTGCCTTCACATATTTAAAACAAATGCCTTGTATGTTAGAAACTCTTTCACTGTTGTCTTGATGGAATTACACAAACCTGATATGCAAGTGTGCTTGCTCTGCTACATATTATGTAAAGTATACAGTTCAATATACAGTGAGCTAATTAGACTGAACAAACAGAAATCTGTGTTGTATTTGTAAAAAGCAAGAGAAGGTGAGCTAAATCGTTACTATGCATTCTGTCATTTTTGTTATTTCTTAGCCATTAAAGCAGAACTATAACCCTTTTCTTGTGCTCTCACTCCTGAGATAGATATATATATATATATATATACACACACACACGCACGCGCGCAAACTCTGGCACTCTTCCTTTGGATCCAAATAAAATACAGAAATTACCCGGGTGCTTCCAAGCCACTCGATATATCCAATCAATAAAGGAGCACTCCAAAGGATTTTGAAAAAATGTTTATAATCCGGTGTTTAAAAAATCAAATCATCAACGTTTCGACCCGATAGGGTCTTTATCAAGATAACAACCTTTAATTAGTGCCTATATATACAGAAATAAAAATAGATCTAACTTACCCCACCTGAGAAGTGATGCCCGCTCACCAAGTGCTGCTGAATGGTGCGCATGCGTAGTGACGTCACCAAAACGGTGCGTCATGCCGTGTGTGCGTACGTGCGTGATAACGTGGTCATATGACCCCATGGACCGCAAGCGTGTCCATGGAAACCTGAACCAAATAAAAACAAAGCAAAAAAGAGGTAGAAAATCTACAGATCGGACCAGAGTCATAAAGAGATTAATAAGCCATAATCCAGATATAATAAACATATTAATTCACTGAGTGTAAGTATGGAGAAAATGTGAAAAAGAAACCAGATAAGAGCATAATAAGAATAAAGACAATAGTGTATGAAAAAAAGGTAAATGAGAAACGTGTGAAAACAAGTAAGAGCCTCTAAGGAAAAGGCAAAACTATGACATGTGAAAAAGGTGTTAAAATTATAATAAATACAGAAAAAATGAAAAAAATAATAAAAAATAAATAAAAATATAGATAAAAAATAAATAAAAATATATAAGAAATATAAAAAATAAATAATAAAAAATTATATAAGTGTGAATGTGATAAACAGTGAGAAATAAGTGTATAGACATATACACCTCAAAAAAAATGTGAAAGAAAAAGATAAGACCTGATACACCCAAGAATCCTAGAAATATGAAATCCATGTATAATTGAAACTAAGTCCGATCATAATTCCAGATATAAATCTAATATAAGGCAATCTTACTAATGGACAAAAAAATCTACTTAATAATATGTATATATACTCTATATGTTAAATTCCTTCACATATATCGGGTAGATAAACTTCACAATTTACACTTTTACAATAAAAAAAGAGTACAGAAACCATGCAATGTGGGGCTCAATGCCTAGAAAAATCAAAACTAGACTAACGTCTCTCCAAAAATGAGTTAAATGAAACATATTCATTCAATCCCTTAGGTTGTAGCGTATCCAATTGTTTAATCCAAAAGGTCTCCCTTGATATAGATATAGAGAGAGGTGTTTATTTTGCAAAAGCACTTGTATACCTTCTGTTCTGAAGTAGTTATTTTAACAGCAAATCAGCGTGTGTGTCACTGTAGATTAACCCATTAAGAACAGCAAATATCCGTATTTTGTTCTGAACCAAAACAAAAGCTGGAATTTGAGCTATATGCTGTTCAACCATAATTTACCTCTTAAATAAGGCATAGGCAACCTTCGGCACTCCAGAGGTTTTGGACTACACATCCCATGATGCTTTGCCAGCATTATGGAAGATGTAGTCCACGGCATCTGGAGTACCGAAGGTTGCCTATCCCTGTCTTAAATATTGGGCACACACACTTGTTAAATATCATTTTGTTCAGGAGAAATAGGGCTTTCATGGCATATCAAATATTAATATATAAACCATAATTTAAAAATGAATATATATATATTTTTTTTTTTTATAAATGTTTTTTTTTCCAAGTTCTGCATGGCATTTTAACTGTGAATGTCATACTGTTTTTTTTTTACTGCAGTAATATACAAACATTTGTGTTCGGTGTCTCACAAGTACAACAGTAGTCCTCCAATGTACAGGTTTTATGGGGTTTTGGAAAGTTACAGGGTCAAATATAGGGCTTTTCAGTTTATACACATTGAAATTTTCAGATTTGTTTGCTTGGCTTATGTTGCATTTCAGACTGTATGGCAGCTAAGGAATGAAAATAATCCCCATCATGGCATACCATTTGAAAAAGTGGACAACCCAGGGTATTCAAAATGGGGTTTGTCCAGTCTTTATTAGTAGCCACTTAGACACAAACCAGCAACCTAAGTTAGTATTCATATTGGTTTATTTAATTTTTCAAACATAAACTGCCGTTTTTCACAGATGATATCAAAGTTGTTGTACTTGAAAACACTATTTTGTGTTCAGCAATGTCTCACGAGTACAGCAGTACCCCCATTTGCAGGTTTTACGGGGCTTTGGAAAGTTACAGGGTGAAATCTAGGGCTTGTAATTTAAATTCTATTGACTTTCTGCCCTGGTTGTCAATCGGGTCCCTCAGTATATAAATGATAAAATCACATCATTTTGTAAAACATAATAAAAAATATACATGTAGAAGTAAATTATATAATTTAATTCTAAGTGTCTGTGTGTTCTATAGACTGTAAGCTTGTTTGAGCAGGGTCCTCTTCAACCTATCGTTCCTGTAAGTTTTCTTGTAATTGTCCTATTTATAGTTAAATCCTCCCCTCTCATAATATTGTAAAGCGCTACGGAATCTGTTGGCGCTATATAAATGGTGATGATAATCGTGTATGTATCCATCCTTGCACTCAGGCTAAAAAACATTTATATTCCTTTGTGCTGCCGGACCTTCAGACTTCTTGTTCATATAAAATTCAAAGATTGGCTGCACTCACGGTCTTATATAGGTGTGACTTCTTTATTCAAAAAAACAAAATCCAGAGATAGACGTTTCAGTCCCAACGTTTCATCAGGGTCAAGATACATCTCTGGATTTTAGATCTAGAGGTAGATATATAATCTCAAAACATACTTAAAATTCCATTTCATTACAAGTGTATGTTTGTTTTTCAACATAATTATGTGCTTTTATTATTTATATGTTGCGCTCCACAATATTCTTAACATATATATATTATAAGAATATTTTAAGAATACTGTGGAGCGCACATACGTTTTGTTCAAAGAGCTTAGGTAGAGGTGCCGTTATCTAGATCTAACCATTGTTCCCAGCAATCCGTATCATGAAAGGATCATAAAGTTTCCTTTATGTTTATTTTTTTATTTGTCTCTAACATGTTTGTGTTTATTTGTTCTGAAAGTGGTCTAAAAAGGGTAAGTTTTTCTCTGCCTAGATTTTTCGTAGAAAGGTCTATTTATGAAAGGACCACCTATTGTAGAATGGAGAAAAAGAGACCTGAAACATAACACTTTCCATTGGGGAAAAAGTGTAGAAAAGATTGCTAAATCCATTGCCTTCTGCACATACCTAAGTGCAGTTCTGTGTATAATCGCCTTTCCCTATGTACAAACAGAAATCTTTGCGAAATATTAACCCCTTAAGGACACATGATGTGTGACATGTCATAATTCCCTTTTATTCCAGAAGTTTGGTCCTTAAGGTGTTAAAAAAAAAAAAAGGAAATGGTCGGGCTGCACCTCTTCATCCCCAACTGCTGCCAAATAATGATACATTGTTCTATTTATAAATGTGCCCATGTTGTATACAGAGTTAATTTTGTTTCAATTTAACATTTAATGTTCTTTCTAAATACTGTCATGCAGAAATGTTGCAGTCTCTGGCGCAACGTCCTGCTCCTGCCAATACAAACAGGGAGCGTCGTCCTCGATACCAACATCCCAAAGGGGCACCAAATGCAGATCTCATTTTCAAAACTGGTGGCAGGTAAAGTGATTGATTTATTTTATTTGTAATTATTATTCTGAATATTCTGATGGTTAATAATTTGCATATACAGTTTCCCTTCCTATCAGTATTTGTACATTTTGTATATTACATATTGAACAATTTATTTCCGTTTAATTAATTTGAATTTTACAAATTTGATTATCAAGAGCTTAAAGATAATTGCATATGTTGCACAGAAAGGATATACATTTGGTCTTAGCTTGTAATAACACTAGGGGTACACCCCTAGCCTATGAAAGAAAGCATGTTGGTAGACATGATTGTACTTCAAATCTGTAGGTCTCTCCTTAACCAAAGGTATCTGTAAAAAAATGTTTATTATAAAGACAAAAAATTGTATGTTTTTAACAAAACTTTCAAAATATATTTTTGGTGCATAGATCATGCCCTGCAGTCTCAATGAAAAAGCTTCCTTTTTACAGCACAGTGTGTTACTTTAAAGTTCAATTATCAGAGAAGAACTTATAATCACACGCAGGAGCCCATTGTAGGCTCTGGCAGGCAATTAACAGAGCATGAGAAAATAAATAATTTAAAAAGTTAGACTTCTTTTTCAGGAAGTGTGTAGTGTTAGACACAGGCGGTAGAGGCAAGTCATCACAGAGACTGACTCCTACGGTAATCAGAAAACCCAGGAGACAATGAATTACAATTGGCGGACTGCCTGACTGTGGAGTCCTGCTAGCATTAGCCCACTAACCACCGATCCTGGCATGCACTGCTGCAGTTGGCCACCAGCTGCCAATCACATATTGCCTATCTGGGTTATTACTATGTTTTGAGGCTTTCGATAATAGCAGGGTACATGCTATAATTACAGCATGTCCCACTTTAAAGGAGGAATCCAGGCTGGCAAACAGTGATAGTTATACAGTTTCTGGGCATAGAGCCGGTCCCTGCTGATTTAGCAGTGTAAGCACACTGCATTTTCTGCGACAAGGCAGTGTTTACACTGCTGCCTAAGGTCACCTCGAGTGGTTGTCACGGTTTGGTCCAACAAAGATAGGAGGACCAAGATTGAGTCTCTACACCGGGGGTAGGCAACCTTCAGCACTCCAGATGTTGTGGACTACATCCCCATAATGCTCTGACACCTGTAATGCTGGCAAAGCATCATGGGAGGTGTAGTCCAAAACATCTGGAGTGCCGAAGGTTGCCTTTGCCTGCTCTACACTCTGCATGGAGTTGGAATAGGGAGCGTGTTTGTGTGTCTCTCTCTCTTTCTCTCTCTTTTTATTTTTTAATATATATTTTATTTCATTGCATAGCTGGTCAGTAGAGATTCATGCTTTATAACTAGTTTCTGTGTTTACCTTTTTCGATCTGTTTTGAAATTCAGTTTTTCTGACAAAGCAGTGAGATAAGCTTGAAATAGGTTTCCTGCCATAATTAGAGGTCTTATAACTAACAATTTTGGATTTGTACTTCTTTTTTTCACAGGAGACGTTGATCCAGTAGTGTGTCTTGCATCCATTGGGCCCTGTGTCTGACAACATGGCTAGTGGAGACCTCCGGATTTTGAGTGAGATCAGCAGCATATCGCAGCATGTTCACGGAGGAGGGTTCAGGACAGAAACCTGGGAAAGGGCTGGGGGAGTAAGGAAGGACAAGAACACCAGCTTCCGCTTCAACAAGAAAAGGAGCAGCTTCGAGTCTGGACACAACAGACACACAGAGTGAGCATTTTCTGCTAAGGCATCACTGTGGCCTTTGATTTGGAAGGAAGACTGCAAGAAGGTTGATTTTATTAGCAAGCAGTTGAGTTATTAGTAGAAAGAGTTCTTTATAGAAAGTAAGTGGGTTGCTATTTAAGTTAACAAATATACAACATGGGAGGAGCCAACGAGACGTTTTTAGTAGGTGGAGGATAACCAGCAAGCAATCTGCAATGTTCCAGACTAACAGCTGAAACCAGAAGAAATTACGCAAAGGAGAATGGCTATGGATGTCATACAGCGCTTATATTTAAGAGTGCACAACAAGCTGTTCCGCTGTTCCTTCCAAAAAAAGGATTTTGGTTTACATATTTTCTTATATCGTAGAATTATCTCTGAAAAAGGAATGGACCTTTTTTCTGTCAGAGGTTGCATAGATAAGCTTGTTATATACATAGGTTTTAAGAAAAAACAAACTTAACATTGCCTGAATAAGTTAAACATTTGTGGAAAAAAAAATCCTCAAAAAAAAAAAATACATCTGTCTGTCATTCTGATACCAGCAAAAACGCAGTGATGGACTGCGGCATACCAAATGCACTATTCAGATAATAGGTGCCATTGAGCATACTGTGGAGACAACAGCAAATCGATTTTTGTGTGTAGACATTACATAAAAACAGACGCATATCCTTCAATTTTTTTTCCTTTTACAAGCAAAATAAATTAGTTGAGTTTGTTTCTTACAGTTAATTGTATTTGTTCATTTGGGTTAGGATTTGCTGTGTTGTACATAGAATATCCTAAAGAGCACAGCCATTCGCTATTCTGTACTTAAATAAGCTTTTCCTTGTTCAATTTCTTTTTTTTTTTTTTTTTTTTTTTTGCATGATGGAAAATACATATGTAAACCGGACACATTACCAACAGAGATGCTGCACAATCACCATTGCTGCAATAAAGCTGTGTAAATAGAATGTATCTGTATGCTGTTTATTCACATACAGTGTAATGGGACATGCTAATTAAATGGTACACTGCACTCCTTCTCTAGAAATGGTAACACAAAGTTGTGTAAAAGATGTCCGACGTTTTAGGGTAGAAAAGATGGTTGTTACATGGAAAGTTGGAAGCCAAAGTAGGACTCCTTTACATGCTTGTCACAATAATTCAGCAAGTAGTAACCTCTAAAATTGCCGTTACTACCATTAGTTATTACTGTCTGTTTCCATTCCGAAAATGTAAAGGTTTGGCTTTTGGTAACGAACTGCTGAAACTTTAAGGGACTGTCCAGACCATTAAAGCAATTTTGCAAGTGCTCTATGTATGAAATGTTTGTTTGTTTTTATTTATTTTTGTTTTTTTGCAAACGGTAGTCTTTGATTAGACACCCAAAAGAAATCTGGACTGGGGATGAGAGTAACAGCTTGGAAAGACTGCAGACGAGATCTGCAGCTTTTGCAAACTGCTTTTAGGTTTTTGAACAGGCTCTCAAGTAGTATTGGTGTTACTGTTGAGGAAGCTCATGTCTGCCTTTCAAATAACCATATGTAATTTAGGTAGTAGAATTCAGCTTAAATTGGTTTAAAACATGAAAAGTGTTTTCGTTGGACTTCTTCTTCAGGCACCTATTGATTTTAAATTATTATTTTTTATTTTTTATTTGATACATTTATATATACTCTACTGGGTTTATAGGACCACACATGGAAAAGACTGTGTGGTTGAAATGTCAGGTGGGTGCTTATGTCTGCATTCATTTAAGCATGTAACACTTTTTTATAGTCCGTTAAATTCCTGTATTTTGGCTCTAGTGGTTATCACATTGCATATTGTTTGGAATACAGTGTGTTATAAAGCGCCAACATATTCTGCAGCGCTGTACAATTAATTAGTAGAGGAGGTAAAATATACAGCGACAAATACAAAAGGTAGAGGGCCCTGTCCGTAAACTGAGATCTAGCCATTTAAGCTCTTTTATACGAAGTGCTTAGCTAGATAGTCTGTGTGCTTACAATGTAAAGAGACCAACCGAAAGAATTGTAGGTCATATGGGCTAGGACCTCGGGGGTCACAGTTTATTTCATTGTAAGCTGTGAATTTGCAGCATTAATGTATCACTACTAGTTACTATTCCTGTTTAAATGTCAAAATTACAAAAAATGTCAAAACAATATAAAGGATACCTTGGAGATTTGATCACCTATTAATATATTGCTTTAATCCATGAATACACTAATAATTATGATTTTTGAACTGGAAGTGATCGAAAGTTGCCAATTGCAAACACTGCCTGTCTCAGCCATCCTCAATGAAATGCTGAGTACTAGATTGTGTCGCATGAATAAAAAGCTTCTATGTCACCCCCCAAAACCACACACCCCCCTTTGGTTAGATAGTATTTTTAATTACTACTACTATTGTACATAATGATAATCTTAGTGGAGATTCACCAACTTAATATATTTGAAAAGTGCTAATATAGCCCTTATCAAAGAGCTGTAAAGTGAAGTATTATTGTACGTATATACAAAACTGTGAATAATACAGCTGTATTAACTATATGACTGTCGAAGTAACACAAATCACATTATATTATGTTAAAGCAAATATCTAACCAGCCAATCCTATAGCTGCAACTCAATGCATAAAAGCATGTAGACATGGGCAAACAGTATAGTAATTCCATTTCAAACCAGGCATTAAAAATGGGAGGACCCGTTTGGTTTCAAATGCTGAAAACTCCTCCAAATGAAAGTAGCAGAAGAGACTGTCCAGACTGGTTAGAGGTGACAATAACTGAAGTAAACATACATTAAAACCGTGATATGGTATGCAGAAGAAATTCTCTAAATTAACATGTTTTGTTTGGTGTGGTTCCCCATGACAAGAATGGCTGACCGTGCAGGGAAGTTCCAACGGTTGGTCCAACACAAGAAATGTCCTGCAGTGTAGCATGATGAATAGGTGATAATAGAAGATGCAAGGAGCAGGACTTTGTTAGCGCTTGGTGGGCTGGCTGGAGTATGTTATTGGATTAGTGGGGTGCGGCATTAGTGCTTTGTACAGCCTGTTTTCTGACAATTTTGCTTTGTTTCTGAGATTCTTTATCACCTGTTTAGTTAGTATCCAGATGAACAAAGGTTTGTTGTTTTTTTTTTGTTTTTTTTGTTTTTAAAGGTTTTTTTTTTTTTTTTTGCCTTTTTAATTCTTTTATTATTTTTCTAAAATTCCATTGTACAAAATACACAGGCTGTTCAATTGTTAGTATTGGTACCTGTGTTTTTCTTTATTTTTAATTCAATTACTGCTTAAGTGTGAATGATGTTGACCGATTGATCTGCACACAAAGGTGTTGCAGACCAAAATTTTTGCATAAAGTATTAGTTTCAGTCCCATTAGAATGTTGGAGATGTGGGAGAGAGGCAGTCTCTATTAAACACATTTAGTGGGATTGCCCATTCATTCAACCATATTGGTAGATGGTTAAATGAAAACTATAGTCACCAGAACAACTACAGCTTAATGCAGGTTTTATGTAGTAAACACCTGTCTTTTTAGAGTAAATGCGGTTTTACATTACAGTCTACGGATACCTCCTCAAATGGCTACTAAAGGTGCTTCCTGGGGCAGTGCTGCTGGAGACACAGAACTTTCCTCATAGAGATGCATTGATTCAATGCATCTGTATGATGAACTTGAGGGTCAAGAATAATTGTTTGTGTTCCTGACCCCATAATGATCCTTTAAATGAACACTATAGTATACAAATATGTATTCCTGACACTGGCTGTAAATGCACCGTTTAGGACCTCAGATCCGGTTGCTCACATTAAAAAGGTGTTGTTTACATTAAAAAGCCTGCAGGGGCATGCTGTAGACACCAGAAGAACTACATTAAGCTGTAGTTGTTCTGGTGACTATAGTGTCCCTTCAAGGACTCACAGAGATATTTAAAGTGCTCACTCTCTTTGCATTCGAAAACATCTGTTTACATGTCACACCTTTGCAAATATCTAAATATAAATGTTCCATATTGCGGCACCTCCTGAACGCAGCAAATACTCTAGTACCTGCTCGCTGCAAAAGTCCAGAAGCACCTTCTGAAACAGTGTGGTTTGATACGGTTGGAAAAAATTAGAGCCGCCGAATCCCTTAATGCATTGTTAAGGGGGACAGGAGCAAAACATGCAGAGCAATGGTAACCCTGGGATGCATATATTTCTCATAGTAAAAACCTCCTTGGGAGGGCAGAGGAGATGGAAAACTAGATGTGGGAGTGTGGGGAGGCACGTGCGGCTATGGGGTACTTTATCTCTTCCTAATTTATGTTTCCTTTTTTCTGCCACCTTTCTATTTCACCAGCAAACATTGCTGATCTGACCTACGTGCATGCGGATAATAACTAGGTATCTCTTCAGAGAGATAATGACTAGAGTGAATTTGAGAATAACCACATAGGTTCAACTTAAAGATAACTGCAATAATTAATGATCACCCAATCTGACGATACTAATAAATTTGTTTCATTGCCATTTGTATTTATCTATTATTTGTTACTTGCTTTCTCTAATGACACAATAAAGATTAAAAAAAAAAAAAATATGTAAACCTGGAAATCTAAGTTGACAAAATATACCATAGATAATTTCCAGTTCTTTCAATTTAAATGTGTCAACAACGACAACTTTTTCTTTGAAAGATGCATTTCAGTTTATTCACCAAGCTGAGAAGACCCAACTGTGTAAAATACCACTACTCCCTAATAATAATTTTGAGACTGGAGAAGTCATTATAAGTTGCACTTTCAGTTGAATTTGGGGAAACCACTTGAAGCATTCAATAAGCAATAGGGTTTCAACATACAGACTTTCATCTGTTTGCAATGAACAAATCAAACAAGCTATTTCAATTGCTCTTGTTTGATTTGTTCATTGCAAACAGCTGAAATTCTGTAAATGTTGTCAACAAACTTGATTTTAAATGGGGGTTGAATAATTTTGATTTCAACTATAAATTCTAGTATAAAAATTGCCATCACCAAGACAATTTATAAACTGAGCATCACCCACAAAACACTTATTTAGCAATGAATATCTAGAATATAAAAAAAAATGCTATTAATAGGTCTCTTCAGGTAACATGATTCTTATACAAGACAAATGTAGAACTTAGTAAAGGAACATTTATTATAAACAGAAAATAGTCACAGCTCATCCAAATAGAAAATATTACAAACATATTTTATACCAAACAGACAAAATAAAGGGAGAACATTAACAGAAAACTCTGTTACTGCTGGCCATTCTTCCATCTCTGACTGCATGTCCTCCCGCTTTCTGAAACTCAATCTCTCTAAAACTGAGCTCCTTGTCTTTCCTCCTAATATTGATCGCTCTCCCTTAAAGTTAGTGATATCCACATCAGTCCATCCTTGCAAGCTGTCTTGTCAAGTATGATGCTGTCTTGGCGTCATACTTGATTCTGGCCTCACCTTTGAGCCTCACATCCAGTATTTTGCCAAATCCTGTAGATTCCATCTTAAAAACAAAGCCCCTTTTTATGCAAGATGTTACCAAGGAGCTTGTCCATGATCTAGCAATTTCCTGAGTGGATTATTGTAACCCTCTCCTAATTGGTCTTCTCAAAATCCTTATTGCCCCACTTCAGTCTGTAATGAATGCTGCTGCCAGACTGATTTTCCTCTCCAGTCGATTCTCTCACACCTCTACCTTCTGTCAGTCCTTACATTGGCTTCCTGTATCTTATAGGAGTCAATTCAAGGTACTAATCCACACCTATAAAGCATTGACCAATTCTAGCCCCTCATATCTCTTCACAGATCCATATTTATACCCCTTCTCGGTATCTCCACTCTGCCCGTGGCCTTCTCCTGTCTGCTGCTCGTAGACGTACGGCCAACCCACGCTTGCAGGACTTCACGCTGGCGGCACCCTTCCTACCGTGTTTCTCCGAAAATAAGACCGGGTCTTATATTAATTTTAGTCACAAAAAACACACTAGGGCTTATTTTCAGGGTAGGGCTTATTTATTTACGGTATGTACATTGAACCCCCCCTTTAATTAATTCACCACCCCTTTAATTAATTCACCACCCCTTTAATTAATTCACCCCCTCTAATTAATCCAGCCCACCCTTTAATTAATTCACCACCCCTTTAATTAATTCACCCCCTCTAATTAATCCAGTCCACCCTTTAATTAATTCACCCCCCTTTAATTAATTCACCCCCCTCTAATTAATCCAGCCCACCCTTTAATTAATTCACCACCCCTTTAATTAATTCACCCCCTCTAATTAATTTACCCCCCTTTAATTAATTCCTTTAATTAACCCTTGTCCAAATTAATTCACCAGTGGTGCCCCTTTAATTAATTCAATTGAATTCCCCCCTCTAATTAATCCAGTCCACCCCACCCCCCTAATTAATTCACCCCACTCTAATTCAGCCCACTTGCTTCACCACCTTTAATTGAATTCACCCCCCCTCTAATTAATCAGCCCACCCTTTAATTAATTTTAATTAATTCACCCCCTCTAATTAATCCAGCCCACCCCTTTAATTAATTCACCCCCCTTTAATTAATTCACCCCCCTCTAATTAATCCAGCCCACCCTTTAATTAATTCACCACCCCTTTAATTAATTCACCCCCTCTAATTAATCCAGCCCACCCTTTAATTAATACACCACCCCTTTAATGAATTCACCCCCTCTAATTAATCCAGCCCACCCTTTAATTAATTCACCACCCCCTCTAATTAATCCAGTCCACCCTTTAATTAATTCACCCTCCTTTAATTAATTCACCCCCTCTAATTAATC